GTCTCCGCAGGCCGGGCCGCGGCCCCTCGCCTCTTCCCGCCAGAGCCTACCGGAGGAGGCTGGGGGCAACTCCATGGTGAGGCCCTCCTGCAGGAGACTGGGCGACTCTGGGGCGCTCTGGAGCCACAGCTATGACCGCAGCCGAGGAAGGGGCGAGCGGGTTCCCAAGTGGACAGATGTGGGCGACCAACTTCGCTCTACTCCTGCCAGCAAGAGAAGGGCCCTGACTGAGGCGGCGGCGGCGGGAGGGGACTGTTGCAAACAGCTGTTCCTCATACATATTTCATTACACAATCAGATAATGCGTCCCACCACCTTCTCAATTATTCACAGATAAACATTTTCAAGACGTTTTGACATCTGTCTTAGTGCCTGCTATTAATTTAGTAATCACTGTAGTTAAAAATGTATGGGATTTTTGCCGTCGGAGTACCTCCTCTCAGCTCGCCGGCCCAATGTTGGGCTGCGGCTTGGAATCCCGGCCCTTGGGATTTAAGACAACTTTGGAGGTGAGTCGGCCTCTCTAGCGCGTTGACACTGTTGTGGAAGGGATTAAAGGTTATTTTAATTTATTGTTGGGACTATGTCATCTCCCCAACCCGAATACCCTCTGCATTTCCCTACTGCAGCCCTAGACCCTCAATGGTGCCCAGCCCTTTGCCCTGGGCATCGGAAATGGTGAGTTTCATTGTAAGCAGAAGTTGGGGTGATCCCAATCAGCTAATTTTGGAAGAAAGAAAGAAAAGCACACGATCAGAATTTCTCACAACAAAAACCTAACAATACAGTGACCCTGTTCAAGAGGTCACAAATCTATGCAGTTTTGATCTGAGCCCTGTTTCCCTGGCAGAGGTGACAAGGGCATTTTGGAAAGAGAAAAATAAGTTTGCTTTACTCATTGTATACAGGACATTTGGGGCTATGAGAAAACAAGTTGCTTTTCTGCTTGAGGGATAAATATTGCAGGTGGTACCATTATGTACATGCAGTTTTTAAAATCAGCCAAGCAGAGTTTGGAGAATCTTGGAAGATTCAAAAGTAGTAACAAGTATTTCCAATTTTAAAATGTCATAACTTTTTTGAGAAAGCCTCCAGGTAAACTACCCAAAGAAGAAAAGAATACCTGAAAGTAAACAAGTTTGTTTCTTTGTGCTCTGAATCTCAGCGACAAGAAATGAAAATCTCAGCTATACTTTGGATCTGAGAGTGATAAGTCCTTAGGCATTTCTCTGTGTCAAAGCCTCTTTGGAGGGGGAATCAGCTGGTGGACCCTCACTTGGGAATGAGGAAACATAAGCCTGGGTGAAGAAAAAATAGCCTTAGAAGAAACTTTCTAATGAAAATCAAGATGTCAGGAGTCTAAAGTGAATTTCACTCCTTATTGTTCAAAACACCTACAAGAATAAGCTCTTGCTACGATGCCCAGGAATTAAGTATATCTTTAAAAAGAAAATGACATGGCATTTGCTCCCAAAAGAGGGGAAAATTTTTCCTAATCACACCTCCATATCCCTCTATTTCTAGAGCAACTACAACTGCTGTGGCAAGTCCTCCTGTAGTGTTTTTGGGTGGTTCATTTCTTCTTCACAAAATGGGCCCTCCTTTGCACCTTGAAGGGTGGTCATCCAACTTGCTGGCCCAGAAACTCCCTTTTATCCTTTTTTTTTTTTTTTTAATTGAGTTAAATCTTTCCAAACTTAGTCTCTACATTCAGATGAGAAAGAGGCTCAGAAAATGAGCTCAAAAAGGGAAAGTTGGGAAGGAAGATGAAGTGGGGGAAGGGCACATTGCTCCCAGCATGCACAAAACTAGCCACTGTCCAGGATTGTTCACCCAGACTCCAGGCAGGTAAGTGGAACAGACACCAAAGGCAATCTTACACAGTCACTAGGGCCTGGTGGGAGAGCCACCAATCCGTGCTGGCAGTTCTTCAACTGGGCAGGGACACCCAAACTCTGAGACTGGGAAGCAGGGGCTGAGAATTTCCCACTATCTCACAAAGAAAATGTGTTTCAAACCCTAAATAATTCAGTTTGCTTTAGCGTTCTTTTGCAAAGAAAAATTTGATATACATGGGACTGGGATAGAAGTGGGGTGAGAGGACGGAGCTGAACAAGTCATTCCTTTGAGGACTACATTTAGGATATGAGGAGTGAAGAGAGCAAAACAAGGAGTTTCTACTCTAGGTCCACTTCTAGAGCTGTGGTTAGAGGAAATTAGACACCTTTGGCTCAGTGAGATTTTATCTATGCCCTCTTTGCCATCCTCCTCCAGCAATCTCCTAGGTTAAAACTGCCAAATATATGAATAATCCATGTCAAAAAGAATCTTTCCTGTGTTGCCCTCTTCTGGGTGTCTCCAACAGAGCAGGGAGGAAGGTGAAAAGGCTGGCTTTGGTTGTTTCTAGTCTCCAGGACTTGACCTGAAACCTTTCACCCAGTCAACAAAGTTTCTCCCTCGGCCAACGTCGCTCCCTCTAGAAGGAAGTCTTGCTGCCTGCATCCTTGTTGGTCCTATTCTCCCTGTGTGCAGCTTCCTGTACATCTGCCTGCGTGTCTGGGGTCAATCCATGTGGGCACTGTGTCTTTTGTCTGCATCTGGACAACTGGGTGTGCACTCGTTTGTATAATTACGCCTGTGGACACTTTATTCCTCAGGTGCTGCTCTTAGTCTTCTTTTAATTTGCCCATGTGTGTTCTTGTAAATTGCACGGATGTTCTGCACACCGTCAGCAGATCCATTCTGAGCTACAGCTCAGACTGTTTGCTTGGCGAGGTGAAGTGTGCAAGTGCAAGCTCTGGGCTTTGGGTGAAATGAAAAGTTGATAAGACTTCCTGACCCTAGGGCTCCTAGGCCTCTTTTACACTTTCCTCTGGCCTATTTCTTACCCTTTCAGGAGAAGAGAAACTCTCAGACCATCTTGTGCCACAAAACCTTTCAGGAAAGGTAGACCAACCTTTGGGACCTCTCCTGGTGAATTATGGCCTGGCCAGGTGGAATGCAAGAGGAAAAGTCTCCTTAGAGCTCTCCACTACGGCCCCCATACAGCCACTTCGCTGCAGAATGTTCCGGGTGCTGTAGGGAGAGAGGAAATCCAATTGTGGACGTCATGGAACCTCAAGGCGAATAGTTGGAGGGTTTGGGGACACAACTCTCCTCTTTGGCCTCCCAGGGACAGCTCTATTAGTACCCAGGAACTAGCCTCACCTGCCCCCTCAGCCCTTCCTCCAGCTCTTGCCCAGCGCTCCTGCCCAGCAGGTTGCCAGCCCAGCAGGTTGCCAGAGCTGGCCACCACCCCAAGCACCCTGGGGCCACAACATTTTTCAAGCCACCTGGAGGGGCCTAGGGGGCCTGATCTGGGAGTGAGGTGATCACATAGAGTAAACACAGTTCCCCTAAAGCGGTCATAGGATGCATTCTTCCACTGGAAATCCGCCTTGGGCCTGTGCACCTTCTCTTCTCAGAGGTTCTGGGGGCTCTGGCCTCCGGAGTGCAGGGTACCGAGTATGTGTGCACGAATTCACGTGTGACTGGAAGTGGTATCTTGTGCGCTGGAATCCTCCAGAAGTGTTTTCTCGTGACCTTGTTAACTTCAGGTAGTCTCCTAGAGGACAGATGCCAGTCCGACACTGGGTCGGAGTGTCTTTCCTGCTCTTAGCACAAAGTGAAGCCACCTCTCCTCCCGCCTGCCACACAGGTCCAAGGGCCAAAGCCTGAGGCTTGGAGGACTGAGGCCTTTAAAGTGAATCCCAGTGTTCTGACCCTAAGGCCCAAGCTGCTCCATTCAGGGTCGGGATGGAAAATCTATGTGAGAACAGGAGACCAGGATAATCCCCCCACACCCCTTGCAGGGTGAAATCCCAACCTTGACGCGTTGGACCTACCAACCAGATATCTCACTGCTGACCCGCTCTGGAATCCGGATTGGCGGCGTCGGCGAGGCGGGGTGGGAGGGATGGTGAGGGAACTGGGTTGGGACAGGATGGAGGTGGAGATGGAAAGAGGGAAGAAAAAGTAACAAGCCTGAGTGGGGATGTAGGGATGGATGAGGATGCTCCATAGGTGGAGTTGGGGCTGCCTCTGAGAGCGCCACCGACTTTTCACTCTGCTCTGGAGAGATGCATCTGGCTGCTGCCCCCCACCCCCCGAAAATAAAGCTAATGATGTAGTAATTTAGGAGGAGGTGGGGGCTGGGCAAAAGGAGGGAGAGGAGAGGATGGGGAAACGCGCGCCCCAAGAGCGAAAGCAAACATCTAGCTGTGGAGGCGCTGCCCGCAGCTCAGGCTTCCCAACAGGTTAGCTAGACTGAGATCCACCTGGTATTTCGCAGGAAGGGGGGGGCAGAGGAGGAGAGAGTCTTACTAGGAGACAGAGGGAGGAGATAGGAGCCAGAGAGCGCGCCGCGCGGTTTAAAAGGAGAGACTTACACTTCCTAATGAATATTTATCCACCGCTGCTTCATGCTCCCGGCTTCCCTTACCTTTCCGCAGGTAAGATCCTCCCTGAACCCCCAGACCTGGGGGCCCTCCCAATTCCCTCAAGGCGGACGCCCTCGGAGGGCTCTTGGCAGGAGGGGTGGGGGTTGGGAGGAGAACGGCTCTACTCCGCTCGGCTCGGGCGCCGGGGCGTGTGACCCCGCACCGCCGAGAACCGCGTGCTGGGCTACCTGTGTAGAATGGGTGTGAGTGTGCGTGCAAGCGAAGGAGAGGAGACGGGAGGGTGGGGGAGAGACTGTGCGCCCGCGAGCGCGCATCTGTCTGTGGCACGCTCTGGGGACATTTCCGACTTTTCACCCGGACGCCCGGGATTTCTCGCCTTTGCCCTTCGTTTCTTCCCCTTCCTCTCTTTGGGCCACGTTACCTACCCTACTCCTAGCCCTGGCCACCGGGAAGCTCCTCCGCGCGACTTTGTACCGCTGGCGCGGGCTTCCCTAAGCCCAATTCCCAGGGCCGGATCCCGCGACTCTCATAAAAGAGAATGAATAGTTCGGTTTCCACAGTAAACGCCCACACAAAGGCCGCTGGCTAAGGGATCCCCGGCTCCCCTTCCCGTCAGCTCCGCTCGCGAGGTGCTGCGGCGCGCTCTCCCTCCTTCCCCCTCTTGGGGCGCCAGGGCCCAGTCCGAGGAGCTAAGAGTGCGGCTCGGGACCCGAGGTACCAGGAGGAACTCAGGGGAGCTGCCTGCCAGCTTTGCTGGGCTGGAACCCCAGACCGAAGACCGCAGGGGGAGGGCGCTGCTCCCTCCAGACCCACCCCCCCTTGCTCGGGCAGGAGCGGGCGGGAGGGGCCCTGCCAACTTAGCCCCGCCTGGGGGGAAACAGGGAGGGGGAAAGGAAGGGTCAGGGAGGGGCTGACGATATAACCGGAATCCTTTCAACAGACTTACCTAGCCACCTGTTGAGATCCATTTGGGGTCGGCCCGCTTCCAGGCTGTGCGGAGTGGACTCGTAAAACCCAAAGCCAAGTTTGAAAAAGAAAATTCTGACCTTGTCGTGCCGGAAGCGGGGATCCTCTGAATGGGGATTGCGAGGCTGGAGACCCAGAGAGCCTTTGCCAGGGGCTCCGCCACTCCAGCGCCCCCACCCCACGCCTCCTTGTCTCCGAGGTCTGTGACTCAGAGCCTATGGACTAGGCGCTCAGGGCCCACAACCGCAGCTCGGCTTAAGCCAGGGCAGATTTTCTAAGCCCTGCTCAGAAGTCAAGAGCAGCAGCGCCGCCGCTCCGCGCGGCCTTTCAAGCCGCAGCCGCTCCTTATTCTTGTGCTTCGGCCTCTCCGGGTGCCCCCGGAGACCGGCCGCTCCCTTCCCGCTAAATCCCCTTCCGGGTCCGTGCGCTACC